TTGCACCGGTGGCGCATCGTCGTGTGTCTCATCAACAATACTCAACGACGTCTGCAAAAGATTCACATATTCTTGCTAGAAGACTCGAGAAATCATCCAAATTGCAAAGTTGTGGGTCATCCCCTCCTTGGCAGAATCCGGAAAGGTGTTCAGTTTCTCGCATATCTTCAAGTAATTACTGAACTGAAGGCGCTATCAACGGAATCTGGTGAAAAACAACCCGACCGATGCGGTAAACGATATAAATCATGTTTCGGGAACGACTGAAACGACATCCCCAATAGAAGCCGTGGTGACGAAGCTACGAGACAGAATACCATATTCTGCACCCAATTTAAGCTAGTCTCATATTTGCTGATCGAACCACATTTTGTGATATACAACTTCTTCATCCTGTTCCTAAAGTGTCGACTAATTGCCAAGCCATATTTCTCTTTCGTAAGCCCAATTTCGAACAATCTTCTTTCACTATTGATAGTTTATCAGCGAGTGTGTTATTGTGATAGGAATGGAAGGTGAACTCGAAATTTGAAGTCATTTTGCGATGGTCATTCAGATGCGAACAACTCTGATTCACTCATTTGGTGTCTCGTTGAAAAACTGTGAGAATGAGTTTCATTCCAAGCAGCGATACATATTTCATGCAGGTAGACAGATTTGAAGCTGACAGATCGCAGCAAATGGTATTTTGGCTAGTGATTCCAAAATTTACCGCAAGATTTTTGTCGAGTAGGAAATTACATTCGAAGTCATCGTCATCGTCACCCATCGGATTCAGAAGAACTTCGGCAGCTTTCATCCATCCGACGTAAAAAACAAACTGTACCATCGTTACCACTGGCACCACAATATCGATCTGAATTCTCCTTATGACAACCTTCAGTCAATGATGTGCCACTTCTCCGACTAGCAACTTTTGCTGTCATTGCAAGGCAACCTGAGCGTTGGATAATATTAAACGCATAAAATGAAGCAGTCGAGAAAATCAGTAGGCGAACTCACTTCACTTTTCGTCGGGAGCGTGCGTCCTGAAACAATGAACTGTCGTGAAATTAGACACACGGCGAA